ATACAACTTAATATTTAATGCGTCGTCACGCATATACAACTGGGAGATCTCCAACAACTGAGGTTGAGCAGTCTAGGTGGCATAAACCCTACTGAATCTAGCATTTGACTTATCTCAACCAGGTCAGGTATAGAACAACTTTAGAAACTCCGAAGAAAACCAGGTATAGACAATAATAGGCGATTGCTCAGGTGTGCCACTTAGACTCGGAGGTCCAGTACTATTGTCAGGACAGAAGGGTTTGGGTATGAGCCTACCACAACCTTGGCTAGCATCACCAATCCACATGTGGAGTTAGCCCACACACTGTCCTTCAAGTACCACGCACCCTCCAGTACATAGTCAAAGACTACATCTCTAACTTGATACCTTACTCAAATTGGTCATTCAACCATGACATGGATCGATTATTTCCATGTCGCCCACACAGTACTAAGGGATTCAACTTTAAAACAACTTTCAACGTAACACCTTAGTACTATGTATCTCAACATAGGACATATATCTTCACCATATGTCCCCAACTTTTCAACTTTACAACAATAAACATCTTGCCCACACACGAGATCAAATAAGTCCTAGAGGAGAACAACACAACATCCACTCCAAGGGACAACTTTCCAAGGAGGGTTTTTCAACAAATTAGGCTCTCAGAGTACCACAAGTATCTCAATCCACACAATGAGATGAGCAACTTCGAAAACATCTCCCCTAGTCCTAGTGATCAACAACTCATCATCACAGCTTAATCAGCTTAACAACTTAAACAACATACAACTTTTTAGCAATAGACATCTTAACAACTTTACAACAATAGGCATCTTAACAACAATAGACAACTTACAACAATACAACAATAGGCATTAAATACCAGCTTGACAACTTCTTATTCAATCATACAACTATACAACTTTAATAATTTTAACAACATGCAAACAACTTAATTAAACAACTATAGTAATTACAATATCAACTTATCGCAACTTAACAACTTTATAAACAATTTCAGCAATATACAACATATCTAAAATTCATCTATCATGTCAACTTACACATAAACAACATGAATCAACTTAAGCACCCAACAACTCAACTATTTCAACAAAAGAACACCATGCATAAAGCTTCCCTAACTCTCCTGAAATTAAACAACCTACATTCTAGCTTCCCTCACTTGAAGATTGGCTCAAAATAGCCAATAACTGAGAAGAAGTAGAATTCCCTTCCAAAGCTCAACCCAAAACTTCAATCCTCCCAAAGCAAGCTTCCTAATCTGAATTTCAAGAAAAGACAGAAGGCATTAGTGATCTAGAGGAGAAAAGGAATCATACAGAAAAATTTGGGAGAGAAAGGAGCTCACAGACCCAGAGTCTTTCTTTCTAAAACTTCTCTCTAAAAACTTCACTTTCTCCTCAACCACTAACCCCTATTTATAGAAGTTCCGGAGTGGCCAGAACGGCCTGTTCCGAATCCGGAACGGCCCGTTCTGCACCCTTTCATCACATACAAAATTTACATGCAGAACGGCCCGTTCTGGAATTCATCCAGAACGGCCCGTTCTCCATCCAGAACGACCCGTACTCCCTCCGGAACGGCCCGTTGTCAACTACATTCTATAGGTCAATTCAGTAATTTGGAATGGCTTGTTCCAGTTTGGAAACGACCCGTTCTGGGCTACTGAATCACCCATACTGGGCTTTTGGGACTTCTGAAAAAAAAAACTACTACGTTACATAATAGATTGTTTAAAGTTGTTCATACTTTCAATGAGTTTTGTCCCAAGTGCAATAGATTAAGTGTAGGGCTATTTGATAGATCATATTTGATAAATCCTTTTATGCATCGTATTGGGCTCATTTGACCTTTTTGAGTGTCTTTAATTGGTAATTTGATTGTGATTCACTTTAGTTAGCTTTATTAGTTTTAATTCTAAATTCTAATTAGTTTTTGTAATTTCCCCACTTTGACACATTGTCTTATGTTTGTCATATCTTGAGCTATCTAACTCGAAATTCAATAATTTTAGTTTCCTTGCAAAACTTAGACAAAGATCTACAAAAGTTTTTCTCACAAGTCAAAGCAAATCTAAGCATTTTGAGGTTGAAAAGTGCATTTGAAGTTTTTGTCTCTACACTTGAGTGAAATTTCTCATTAGGAAGAAAAACTTTTTTAAACTTTAGACTTGCAATTAGTAGGTTGGGTTCATATATAATTAGATTTAGGTTCGCTAAATTATGTGTCTATAAATAATTGAATTCATGCGAAAAATTTATAAACATTCTTAAAATCATTTATTATCAACCATACAAATTTAATCATTCATATGGAATATTTATGATTCTAGTAATTATGGATTAAAAGATTGAGTACATATATTTATCAATAAGTTTCTGCATAAAGTGTACTAAACAACTTATCAAAATAAGTTCAAGACATCTTATAAACTATCCATAAATTATTTTTTAAAGTTTTTTCAATCACTCTAATAATATATAATGAGTATAAATAAATTATGACTTAAATATATTTAGTCTTTCAAATTTAGGATAATTTTTTTTGTCTTTCAAATTTAAAATTATTAATTTCTATAACTTAAAAAAAAATATTTTAATTTCTCTAGTCATCAATAATATATCTGAAAGTGACATATTGACGCAATTATGTAATACAAACTAAGTTTAATGTGATTTTTTCATTTAATAAGAACACTAGTTAGTAGATTTTATGTGATAATATTTAATAGATTTTTTAACAAAATTTGAATATAATGATTAAAATAAATTCTTTTAAAAAATATTTTAAAAAATAAAAAAATTAATTTTAAATTTGAAAGATTAAAAATATATTTACTTTAAAATTTAAATAATTAAAAATATATATAACCCATAATTATTTATAAATTTCTTTCATCAAAATTTTATTTCATATAACTTATATGTAAAAACTTGAATTAGTAGGAGCGAGGAATGACTCATATCATTTAATCAAATATTTAAGATTCAAATCCTCATTCTTACTAATGCAAACAACTAAAAACTAAAATTGGATGGGATTGTTTACCTATTTAATACCTCTCAAATTCCTCCATAATGAAGCTTATCCGGCTTGAACCGTGTCAGCCCGGTGAGCGTGTCTGTATGGGGGGTACCTCTGACCCTCCTTTCTTCTATATGTACCAGTGCTTTTTTAGGGATTTGGGCGTGTGCCTACCCTTTTCTCAATTTGAATGTGATTTTTTGAATTTTGTTAACTCGGCACTGATGAGGATTTTCGCAATCTCTCCACTTGGCAAGCGGACCAAGTTTCGATGTAGTATTTAAGTATCGTCCTCAGGGATTTGAGAATTTAGTAATTCTTACTCTAATGATTAATATAGAGATGTTAATATGATTGGAAGTGAGCTAATGTGAGGCAAAATTAAAACGGTAATGTAAAAGTTATAAGAACAATTATATGAAACAAGGATTGGACCCTAGAGCACTTGCTAACTCCTAAATTTCCTTAAAATAAATATGATTTCATCTTCATGACTTCCACGTTCATTTAGTAATTCAACAAGATCCCTCAAAATTGAATCCTAAAGTAATTAATCTAAAACATGATTCCTCTATGTTTTATGATTAACACTTTGCATTAAGAGCAATGACTTGAACAAGGTGACTAAACAAATCAAGTCTATTCCTAGAGCAAGAGATGTTTAGGTGCAAGATTCAGTTCGGGTTTTCAAAAACGTTTTCCAACCGGATTCAAAAACCAAAAATCATACAACGGGTGATCAAGCCGATATAAGCATTAAGAGAAGAATCAAACACAAGTAATGAAAATGAAATGCATATATATATTTAAGAAGAAGAAGAGTTAGTAGTTACATCTAGACCAATCCTCAAAGATTTAGCCCCTCATGGCCATTTACAAGATCAAAGGAGTGGAAGAAGAAATTACAAAGGAAGAGATGAAGAAAA